ATCATTAAGGCTGTTTACTGCTTGCTACACTGAACTGTTTGCCACACTGAAACCGCGCACCAAAAACGCTTCGTCATGGCGTATCTTGTAAGCCGTAGTTTTTGAGCGTTGTCACTTCGCTCAGTTGATTTTTGAATGAACTCGCCCGGAGGGCGAAGCTTTGTGCAGACATGGTTTGCTCGTGGCGACTAACCGTCAGCGTAATGATTCATCCTGGTCTCTTTTAGATCATGGGACATGCCCGAAAATGTACGCAACAAATGGAATGACGGTTTCAAACTTCCAATATTGTGATATTGTAAACACTTGTTTCATATCCACATATCAGTTTGATCAGAATCCTCGACAATGACCCTGCTGGCCGCAAGCTTGCCAGTCATAATTGCATCATCTGCGCCGCTAAGCCAAAAAAACAGGCCAGTACCAGGTCGTGCCAAAGGGCTAGACTCGGGAAAACCCCTACTTTACCTCACGGCCACCCCAGCGTTCTTAGAGAACAACAGCACCGATCCGGGACCACCCGAACTCAGGGATGGACAGCTCTCGAGACCCGGTTATGGGCGCTGTTCAGTGGCGGGTGCCGCGTTGACTTCACAGGCATTGTCGGCTTTAGGAAGCGTTGCATTTAAAGCGGGTCCGAGGTTAAACAACCGACGGGACCCGGCCTGAACAGGACGCAGGTTAAGGAGCAGAGAGAACACGCGTTCAGGGATAAAAAAAACTCACATTGGTATGCAAGCGAACTAAAATTACGTACCTTTCATTTCCGATCGAGATAGTGATCTACGAGACCGGCAGTGCTTAGGGAGACCCGACAACTTCTTAGAGTCTCAGAGAATCAGCTGTCACTTTTCCTTCGTGGCTTCACGGCTGATAAGTGAAACCGACTGGTGGAGACGAGGCCAGCCATTTTCACCGCTCACACGTCATTTAGGTCAAGTTTTTCCGAGAACATCACGTTCAAGGTGGAGGAAGGGTAAAAAACAACTATGGGATAAGTAAGGAGGCTTGCAAATGTGCATTACAGGATCGGAGACTACCGATCACACCGCCGTGGTCAGGCGCAGGAGCAGGATTATTCTCCCAGCCTTCAATGATATTCGTAGACTACTGTGAAAAACACGACGTCTGCTTTTCCATGTGATGCCGCCATCGAGCTGACCAGCGACCCGCCTCGCCTCTCCAGTCCGCCAGCGATCCGCCTCGCCTCTCCAGTCCGCAAGCGACCCGCCTCGCCTCTCTAGTCCGCAAGCGACGCGCCTCGCCTCTTCAGTCCGCTAGGGACTCGCCGTTCTCACCAGCCTCTCGGTATAACAGTATTCCAACCTCTCAGTGTCTCGCCTCGCCCCCCCCCCCCCCCCCACCTCCCAACGTCTCGCCTCGTCTCCCTATCTCCCAGCGTCTCGCCTCGCCCCCACCCCACCCCAGCGGCGGTGCGCGGCGCGGCGCGGCGCGGTGCTGCGCTGGGCTGGGCCGGGGCTGGGCCGGCTGCACACTTCCGCGTTCACCCGTCGGGCCCCCGCCGCCCGCAGCCGCGGCCTTCGCCGCCGCAGAGTTCCTCGTGACATTGTAACCATATTTTAGCAGGCCACGCCGGGATGTGGGGCAGGGCCGCCGGGTTACGTGCTCGCGCGCCTAATACGGCCGGGCGCGTCCCGTCACGTGGGGTCCCCCCACTCTGCTCGTCCCCCCAGCTTTCACTCTCGCCCGGATGCGGCCGGGAGCTCGGCGCCAATCATTCAGAGAGAGGGGGGGGGATACTCGCCGATGCACTCTTCGTCCAAAAACGAGCTATGCGAGCGGCTAATGCGTAGAACCTGGATGATGGCTGCGTACGGCCGGCGCCGTATCTAACCATCCCATCGGTAAATAATGGCTCATAATTGAAGGATATAGGCGGCGGGTGCCTTGACCCATTCTCGAATCGGCGAATTGGCGACGAGAAGCCACGCCGACCGCCCACTGGGGGCCTTCTGTGACTACGTTGTACGGAGACGGTGCGGCGGGCGGATGACACCGGCGGCGCGCTCTGAGGGCCTCCGGGACGGGCCGGGGCCAGGCGGAGCTGCCCGCCTCGACGCGTCCCTGACTGGTCCACCCGCGGCCGGTGTTCTGCATGATCCATCACGGAACTCCAGTGGCTGACGAGCAGGCTAGTCATGCATTTTCACTGCATCAAGCAGCGCTGCGCTTTGTTCTCGCACAACACGAACCTGCTTGGGTCGTGATCTCAGACTAAGGCGATCAGGCGCTGAGCCGGAGAGCGTGTCTTGACCTCCGCTGAAAGGCCGGTTCAAACCTGTCAGCTATGTTTCCCGTGGAGTCGTGAACTCGGTCAAAAGATCGCGCCCTGACCTCGGGCTCCGAAGGTCAGTCTGGCTTTCGTTCGGTGGGTGACGCCTGGAACGCAGCTCGACGGTCCGGCCGTGACCTCAGAGTCCACGGTACGGCGTGACCGCGAGCTATCTGCAGCCAACGGTCATTCCCGGACCCAATCACACCCTGCACCCAACTCATCTCTCACGCCTCGAACTCGTCCCCCGGACCGTAACAAAACTTGTGGTCGGCGGAGTTTCTACCTAGGGCTTCGCGCTGTCGACCAGCAGAACGGACAGTCGTCCGGCGGTCCTGCTCCACCGCGTTCAAGCGAAAACCGCCTGGCCCGCCGATCAGGCCACGGCGGCGGCTGTCGCCACCCTCGCGATGCGCCCCACCGACGGCCAGCGACCCGGCCTGCTGCCGGGCGCGGCAGGAATGCTCGCCCCGGAGCAGCGCAGCGGTGACAGCGACGAGGGGAAAAACGACGCGCTTGCATGGTCATTTTTGCGGACGTTTCGGGTGATTGTGCATTGTGCACGGGGCCAGGTTCAGTGACTGGTTCACGGGCAGAGTAACTTCCTAATTTTATTTCTTCCGACGCGGACTTGAGCGTTGCAGCGCGTTCCTTTGTAGGAAAATTCCTCGGCTCGGGCAGCGGGGCTACGCAGCTCCCCTGGGCGCCAAGCCCCAAAACCGATCCTCGGCCGGTGCAGTTTCGCGGTCTCGCAAGCATCATAAAGATACAGTATGAACCGGCCCTCGACTGGCAATAGTGTCGTCGCATCGCCCCATCCGGGCTATTGCCACACTGTCAAACGCTAGCCTCACGATGGGCGAGCGGCCGGGCCCGGCCGTCACATCTGTCCCCACCTGACAGTCTGTCACAGGCACAACTCGTAACACACCGTCACAACCGCGTCACGAGCCGGGCCGTCACCAACGCATCACGGCCGTCGCGATCGCCCCTCGTGACGACTGGGCTCGGGTCGCCGCCGCCGCCGCCGCCGCCGCCGCCGCCGCCTGCAGGGCCCCGGCCGGCCGGCTGCAGATACCCAATTCCCCGCACCGCAAAAAGGGCGGCGCGCGCACCCAGCGCCGCGGGGCCGGCCTTTGTTGCTCGCGCCATCGGAGTCTGACGTCACGCCGGCCTTGGTCGTCGCTCATAAATACGCGAACGCGGAGGCTGCTTTTCCGCGGTTTTTCTCCACCTCGCTCTCGGCAACGGTGCTCCGTTGGCGGTGGCGGGACTCGAACCGGCGCCGCTGCGCGCGCCGCCGGGCCGCCGCGGTGGCGCCCGGCCGGCGGCCCCGGCCGACGCTGACATTGGTACCACTTCTAAGTGGGTCACTGCTACGGCTCATGGCCACCGCCATTACCAAATCGGCTGCGGAGCGAGAGGCGCTGGTTCGGCCGGCCGGCGGCGGCGGCGGCGGGCGGCGGTGGTGGTGGTGGTGGTGGTGGTGGCGGCGGCGGTGGCGGCGGCGGCGGCGGCGGCGGCGGCGGCGGCGGCGGCGGCGGCGGCGGCGGCGGCGGCGGCGGCGGCGGCGGCGGCGGCGGCGGGGGGGGGGGGGGGGGGGGCTGACTGCCGGCCGGGCACCTGCGCCCGGACAGGTCGCACGGCACGGACGACGGCAGCTGATCGGTTGAAGCGAGGGGAAGAGCGCTACGGGTTCTGAAGGGGAAAGTTCGGTGTGAAGGTGTCTGAAGAGCGAGAGTGTCTGATCTACTTCTGCAGTTTTGTCCAGCTGAACCCAGCTGTGGTGTCGCATGTTAAGAGACCGATGCGTCAGCGCTCCGCGTGCTCGCAGCCAACATTTATGCGATCGGTCGAGGTAATAACCCAGCACTTCCATCGGAGGCCGCTTGATGCCGCTAACTTTTGTACTGCGTGATGGCAACATAGCAAGCAGACTCGTTCCCGCGTCTGTCACATATATCTGTCTATCCACAATATTAATCGGAGACAGTCATGGCTGTTGCTTGAATATTGTCCCGATGCGTAATGATTATTTGGGCTCTTTCACAACGCGCCGACTGGCTTGGCCATGTGGTGTCCATTGTCCGATATCCGATGTCATTATCTAGGTCCTATGCATAGCTTCAGGTTGACGTGGCCTGGACGTTACCGAGGCGTCTGCCGCCGACGAGCTGAAAATTCCCCTAATTCGCCGAAGCTGTCACGCGGGCTCCACAGGACCAGCGCCTCCACTCAAAATATGCTGTTAGCAATGCTCGCAGCAAATGTCTCGGTTCACCAATTGCAGCAAATGTCGACTGCGCGGCGGCCTCACTTATTTGACAAGAGCGCACCAACCCGAACTGCTGCGTAGTTAATTGTATTTCACTCCCCAACGGCCGTTCCGAGGGTGCCACGCGCAGCACCAGTCAACCGCAGTGACTCACTGCTGCACAGGGCCGGAAGGAGCCCCGCTGGGCGGACGTCCTTCGGCGCCGCCGCGGGGCCGAGACAACGGTCCTCGAGCGGCGCGGCGCCGCCAGATCCCGCCCCCGTCCGCTGCGCCCCTCGCGCTCGCCGTAACCCGTAACTAACACGATCGGACGGCGACCAGCGCTGCGCCGCGCCGCTATTGCCTCCCCTCGCCGCCACCGGGTCGGCCCGGCACCGGCCGCTGCCAACCCAAACACCCATCAGTCGGCCGAGCGGCGCGCGGCCGGCGGTGCTTACACTCGCGCGGCGGCGACGGCGGCGGCCGGGGCGGGGCGCCGGGTCAGTCGGGCCCGCCACCGCCCGCCACCGCCACCAGCACCACGTTGTCGCCGCGCACGAACAGCTGGTTGACGTGGCGGTGGGCCGTCTCGAAGACGGGCCGGCGGCGACTGCGGCGCGAGTCGGGCGGTCGGAGCAGCGCCAGCTCGGTTGTCAGCCGCTCCACGGCCGTCGGCGGCGGCGCCCGACGCTCCGGTCCCGCCGGCGCCCGGGCTGGAGCGCCGCCGCCCGAGGTGGGCACGTTGGCCAGGCCGCCTGCAACGGGGACGACGGTCAGCGCTGATCGGCGGCGAGCTGCGTTCGGGCGGCGGGAGTGAGGTGACGAGATAACTCTCGGGCGCACTGGACCGCGACCGTGGTGCCAGTCCACGTTTGGGGCCGGGCGTCATTCACGGAGTACTTTGTCACGGTATCGTCTTGCGTACCACAACCCGTCAAAACAAAACACCATGGCCTTAATAAATCAACATGTACAGCTCTGGCGGGGTGTGATGTACTCCACTCGAAAGTCGCTGCGCGGCGCCCGTCGGGACGGTCGTGCCCTCATTCCACGGCCACGGCCGCAGGTGGTGAATCGCAGCGAAGCCGGCCGGTCGCTCCAGCCGGCTCAGCGCATGGGATGCGTGCACCTAAAAGGCGGGTGGTCACCGCCACTGGGAGGAGGTTTCACGCGGCCGACACGCGTGTCGTGCCGAGCCGTCGGCCGGGCGGCGGCCGCAGCTGCGGAGCCGGCCGCGGCGCCGCTCGTCCACCGCCGGAGACAACACCGGATGCGGCACCGCCAGCCGCGGGAGACACCAAATAATATCTGCCACCGAGACGGCTGTCACAACAAAGCTGCGCAAAACGTGCCGGAGAACCTAGTAGCCAGCCCTCAAGCGCGCTCTCTTCCGACCAGGACAGAGCGGGCGTGGTCGAGCTTACAGCTTGTATGGTGGCGATCGACGCAGGTCACGGGAGCGCGAACCCGCCGCCTGGGCGCCGCACATCCCGCGCGGCCCGCGCCGGGCGGCGGCGACCACCGGGCGCGCGCGCCGCCGGCGGCCGGGGCGGGGGCCGGCGCCGTACCATCTGGCGACCGCAGATAAGGCGCGGCGCCGCGCGTCTGCCGGCCACCGGCTCGCACGCACACGCACGGCTGGCCGGCCGACGGGGTCACCGACCGACCGGCCGACCGGCCGCCAGCGGCGCTGCACGGGCCGCGCATAAACACACGGCGCCGCCGCTGCAGCCGGCATGAATAATAGAGCCGGTGCGAGCTGGCCGCGCGCCGAAATAGCCCGCCGGCGGCGCTGCGCCGGGCGCCGCCGCCGCCGCCACCGACGTCCCAGGTTTCGACGCGATGGTCTCGGGCCGGCAGCGCGCGGCCAGCCCTCACCGCCGGCCTAAGGTCCGCCCTGGGGAGGGCGGCGGAGGCGCGCCTCGGTCCCATCGATGGACGGCGACGCCGGAGGCCCTCCCCACCGAGCCCGCGCTCCGCGGCCGCCATCCGTCGGGGCCGCGCGCGCGCGCGCCACGGCCAGGGCGGCAGGAGACCAACCTGCCCGGCCCCTGCCTCTGGCTCAGGGTCCCGCAGTCTACAGTGCCTGCTCTGTGGGCCTGGGCGCGGACCTGCTGCCTCCCGACGTAGCGTCCACACCTTGCGGTCAACGGACGCGAGAGGCGGTACTCGAGAAGTACGCGGGTCGCCTTCCGTAGGTCGGCGAGTCAGCATTGCGACTTAACGCGACGGGCTCAAGCTTCCGCACATGCAGTTTGCATTCAGTTGCTGGGCTATAAGGCCATTTTGTGTGGCCAGCGTTTCTGCCTACAATCAACAACGCTTGAAAAGATTCGACAGACGGCGTGTAAAGCAAGCCTCGGACAATCCCTTGAGCCCACATCTGTGCATGGTTTGCAGCATGTTCAGTCATGTTCGGGTTGACGCTCTGTGCATTGATGTCTGCCGCTCATGCTTTCAGTTCTCAGCGCCGAGGCGTTGTGTATTGTCGTGTTCGCTGAACTTTCCGTCACGTTTGCTGTTCAGCTCACCGACTCGGCTTGTTATTTTTCGCGGGGTTAGGGGAGTCGGCTCTGGCGGCTGTCTGCACGTGGGCGATGATACGGACTCATTGAGCCACGGCAGCCGAGGGAGGTGGGGGCTCTTGATGTGACCGAATAGGCTTGGAGTTCGCTTCCCGGAAGCATATGAACGAGATATCAGTAAGACATGTGGACTAAATGACCGAATTACCGTCCTCGCCCGGTGTGTTAGTATTATAACACTAATACCGCACGACGGCCGGGCAGTAAACTGGCCGAAACAATGCGTAAATACGAGCGCGCCAGACGGCGGCGATCGCTCGAACAATTACTTAATCCGTGAGGCTTGGCAATGACGACCATCACAGCGTTTGCATTATCGATGCTCAGTATGGCGACGCTTTCGGCACGCTTCGCTATTCTAAATGTCTTATGCCGATGTCACCTATCCAAGACGATGATTTCGGTACGACTGTCGCCCCAAAGTTTGTGTTAGTGCTAGTTTGTTCTGCCTATCTATTTTGCAGTGATGATTGTCAAACCGATTGCTCATAGATCCGGCAATGGTTCAACTAAGTCGGAGAAATTGCCCATCTGTCATACGCACATCAAATGAACTGGATTATGGATGCACGGCGAAGAGAAATGGTCTTAGGCTGCCGCTCCCTTGTCTAAGTGCTTGCCTGCATCCCAGGGATGTTTCACGGACCGTTAGTGATGAGTTACGTTTCATCTGTGAGCAGTAGGTCAACGTCAGTCCTATGAAAAATCGTAGTTCTGTGAATGCTCGCTTTGCCATACAAAGCTACACTTATCGTACTTGAAACGAGGAAGTGACGCAGTGGGCTGCATGCAGGGGCGATGCTTCTTCAGACCTTCTTACTGACAGGCCGGAGCTCGTAAAACGTCTCACGGCTGCAGCTTTACAAAGCGGGGCGGCAACAGATCGCCAGTCGGCGGGCCGGCGCCTGCAGGGGCGCAGGCTTGCAGGCGGCCCACCGCTGCATGCCGCGTGGATTACTTCCACCGGCGTGCGACCGACGAGGGTACGGACCGCTCAGGCCCGTCGCTGTCTGTGAGGACCGCAGAGTCGACGCTGGGACGCGGGGCTGCCCAGACCGCGACGACCGCGAGCATTCCGGCACTCAGCTGGCGGCCGGGGTGCCCGGGTGCCCTCCACGCTGACGATCACCGCCCCGAGAACTGGACGCGGCAGTGCTGCGAGAACACGTTTGTTTCCACGGCGGCCACCGCCGATTTTTGGGGCCTGCACCGGAACGGGCGCCGGCTTCGGCAGCATGTTCGGCTTCGGCAGAGGGCGGCTGGCCGCAGTCTCAAACGGCGGCTGGCCGCGCCAGCGCCCGCCGCGCGCTCCAGCCGCCAGTCGGCCTTAACACTGACCCAAAACCCAGCCTGCAAGTCGGTCAAGGCCGTGGCGTATTTTTACAGCCCGCCCGGCCGCCCGGAGACAGGGTGAAAACGACATTGAGCCGGGCCCCGAGGCTGGACCGGCTGCCGTGGCGCCAACTCCGCGCGCCGCGCGCCCGTGAGGGCCGCCCTCCTCCGGCGCGCTGGCCCGGCCGGCACTGACCTGAGGTCACCTTCGCGGCAAGGTTTGCCGCCGACTGGCGGCGAACTCATGACCTTTCGGCGCGCGGGCCGATGCTCCTGGCGCCATGTGACGGTTACGCGGAGGCTCCGTGCGTCAGCACGGGCGCTGTCACGGCGCCCGCGCCGCTGCGGCGCAGTAGCCGCCCGCCGCGGGCCTCCGGCCGGGCCGGGTCTCGCCCGAGCCGACGGCTGTGCGGCCCCGGCGCCCCGGCGACAGCCGCCGCAGCCCGGCGCGCGACCCGAGCCGCCGCCGTCGCAGACGCCACCGGGAGTCGGCCAGGCCGTGTGACGTCAGAGCCGTGACGTCACACGGCGGAGGTCAGCGGGGCCGGGCGACCTCCGGCGGCGCGCGCCGGCCGTGGCGTTGAGACCGGCGGGCCGGCCCGGTCCAGGGACGACCCGGCGTCAGCACCGGACTGCGTCCCCCGTCCGCGCCCTCTCCGCTTTGCTGCCCGCGCTGAGAACAGGCTTCAGGCAGCGGCCGGCATGAGAGTCAGCCCTCTGACCAGCTGGCCTGCAGCGGGCGCTAGTGAAGCGGCATTCATGATGATACGAGATGATTTGATGGGCACCGCTAACAAACCCACTGCGATGCGAAAATGCAATCTGCGCCAGCGGCGGGCCGGGTTACCCTCAGTGATGTCAGAGGTGTGACACAGCTGAAACGAATGCCTTCGCCGACAAGTTGCGTGGTATCGAGCATCGGAGCCCAGGACGGCGCCCGCCCGCCGCTGTTAGCCCGGTGACAGGGGGGGACATCCGACCTTTGGCGGTGTCAGCGGCCCAAACATGCGTAATGCCACTGCAGCGACACGGGCCAGTGCCACCGGCGCCTCCACGTACCGAGGAAGGCGCTTTTCCGTCGGATTTTCTTCTGGTACGTCTCGTCGACGTCTTCCAAGCATAGGTTCCAGTGCTTGTCGAACGCCACGATGTAGCCGGAGCAGACGCCCCGCACGCGGCCGAAATTTCGGATGTACACCTGCGAGGGGCACGCGAGGGTCAGGGCGCTGGGTGAGGGCCGCCACGGGTCCGCAGGTCCGTGCAACAACAGCGGCGCCGGCCACGCTCCCAGCCGCGGCCTTGCACGGCAACGTCGCCACGTTCAGACGTCGATTTTTCACGCAGCTCCGAAAACAATGGCGCCGCGTTTTCCTGACTGCTTTGGTGTTTTACTGTGATGGAATAACTACGTCAACATTCCTTGCCCGGCAGCGTACTCAGGAGTGCATACACACATTAAAAGCTACTGGGAGCGCGTCCGCTGTGATGCTGCTTTATAAGGACAGGCCACATAAACAGGCAAGCGTGACCAAAAGGTACCGGGCCCGGACTCCGCCGACCCCAATGGAGGCTAAGCCGACCAGAGCCTGCCCATAAATTACTGGGGTCCGAACCCTACCGCCCCGACGGCAGTTACCTCCATAAGTAAGCACCTTCGCAACCTGCTGTGCGCACCACGACCATACTTTGCATTTCCGTGGCAGCCGGTGCTGCAGCCGTGCCACCTCGGGCGACGCGCTCCCCTAATACAGTCCCGCCCCAGTCCCGCCCCAGCCAGCCCGCTGCCCACCCATCGATGACCCCGCTGTGCTGCCGGCCCGGCCGCGCCAATGTCGCCGCGGTGCCGGGCCGGGCTCGGTCGCCGCCGCCGGTGTCTCCCCTGCCGCAGGCGCGTCGCGCGCCATGCGAGCAATCAATGTCGGCAGGGTCGCCGCAGCGCCGGCGGCGCGAGCGAGGTCAACCCCCGACCGGGCCGCCCGGGGGCGACGATCTGGGTCAGCGACGGCCGCCGACGTCGCGTCGGGGTGAACGCTCGCCATCTGTGGAGCGGCCGGCAAACTAGCGCCCGGCGGCGCTCGACTCGGCGGTCGATGCCGAGAGGCCATCCCAGCACGCGCTGCCGCCCGGCAACTGGCGCCGGCCGTGCGCCAGTCTAATGGCTCGCCCGAGGCGCAGGCGGCGGTGCCGAGGCGTACCGACGCCGGCGCTCGAGAGCGCTGAGATGGCGGCTGCGTTGGCGGTGGCACGCAGCCGACCGTGCGGCAGTGCACTGCCGGGGGGATGTGATGGGGCTTCTGGGGAGGGGGAGGGGGGAGGGGGGCGTCGCCTGTGATTGGAGGCATCGGCGGACTCGTGAGTGCAGTCATGTTCCGGAGAAGGGGGAGGTAATCCAGGTTTTCAAGGGACAAGCGATATTGGGTTGCTTACCTGGTGGGATGCGAAAACCATTAATGTAAAGACTAGAGTTCACAAAAGGCATGTTTTGGCAAAATTGGAAGCCCGATGTAATTAAGAGGTCTTACGATAGGGGTCCTCCGGCGTTCGCAATACTAAAGATGACAACATGGTTGCGCAACGGCTACGACCGACCTTTATCGTGACAAGTTCCTACGGAGATCCAACGCCATCAACAGCTCACCGAAAACGCCCAATTTGGGGGGGGGGGGGTGCGTGACACTTCCCCGGTCTCTGACTTAACATCCAGTACAGCAGCCTATGGATCCATGGATGACAGGACCTGGTGTACCTGCGGTCCTCAGTGACAGATCAGGAGCGTCGACGGCCCCTGATGACGGGACCTGGAGCACCCGCTGCCCTCAGTGACTGATCAGGAGCGTCGACGGCCCCTGATGACAGGACCTGGAGCACCCGCGGCTCTCATCAGGAGCATCGATGGCCCCAGATGACAGGGCCTGGTGCACTCGCGGCTCTCAATGACTGATCAGTAGCATCGATGGCCCCTGTCCGATGCACCGGAGCGAGCCGCCGTTGCCACCGTCGCCCACGCGTCTGCCGAGTCGGCGGTGTCAGACGCTCCGCCGTCGTCCACGCGTCTGCCGAGTCGGCGGTGTCGGACGCTCCGCACGTCACCCGGTCAGACGGGTCATCACAGCGTTCTTTTCACGACGCATCGCCAGAGCGGAACGCTGAGGCCGCTCGTTCTGCACTGCGCCACTTGACACGTTCAAACGTCCACGAGCTCCTGCCGCTGGTGCCGCCCCTCTCAACCGGCGCGCGCCACCTCCCAATCGGGCCACCGGAGGAGCGGCGGCAGGGTTGGCGGCGGCGCGGACGGGTGTGGCGTCTGGCCGGCGGCGCCTCCTCACCTTGACCTTGGCCCGCCGCTCCATACACCACTTGAGGCGGCTACATGGACCGGCCGTGGTCGCCGCCATCCGCGTCAGCACTGAGCGCTGCTGCTTCCTCTTGACGGTCACCGGCGCTGCGGGCGGGCCGACGCGGGTGAGCCGTCCGCCGTCAGGCCGGGTCACGTCAACGGCTCAACCGGGCAGGTTATCTCCGAAACTCAAAGAAGAGTAAGCAGAGGCGCAAAAATTGCACATAAAACTTTTCAAGTTCAAACATTAACATACTATCGCGTGGAAATTCGCGCGCTTATAACACACTTCATCCCACGCGCGGAAATAAACCGACCATAGGCACGCTAACCACACCAGAGACCACGCCATGCGTAAACCGTAGCCAAAAAAACTTCCTGATAGGCCTTGACCCTTTGCCACCTACCTTGGCTTTCTGTGAAGCGACGGCCGGGAATGATGAACCGCTCGACGCCACCCTGGCTGGCCGCGGCGGGCGCCGACGAACCCGAGTCGCCCTGGCTGGCCGCGGCGGGCGCCGACGAACCCGAGTCGCCCTGGCCGGCCGCGGCGGGGGTCGACGTGCCCGGAACGCCCCCGGCGCCGCCGACCGGCGGGGCCGTCATCTCTGGTGCCACCTCCTTGGCAGAGGTGGCCCGGCCCCGGCCACGGCCACGGCCCCCGCGACCGCGCTCGGCCGCCTGCGGGGCGCACGCAGACGGGTCACAAGGGTGGCGGGGTGGGGCCGGCGCCGGCACCGGCTGGACGGCACGGTACGCGAGAGCAGAAACTTTGAAATTGTCTGGTAGATTGCACTCGATCAGTCTTGTTTCCGAGCAATCTCTTAACTGTGGCGGCATGGTTGCCGTCTCTGCACGCGCTTGGTAAAACAGCTGTAAGAGGTTCGACTGCATCCATAAAAACTGCGTAACAAACGCCAGCGGGACACGTACCGCACCCGCCGCCAATATCAGTCAGCGATACTTAACAGGCATTTATATTGTTTGGTACCTTGCTGAGGTCAACGTCTCGAAGCATGACGGGCAGCGCATCTGACAAGATGCTTATTTCCCCGCACTTACTTAAGGCCTTCCATGTTTCAATGCTACTGTTTCAAAAACAACTTTAGGTGGTGTATTTGCTTAGATAAATGAGTCCGAACAATGAGCATGGACACTGGCCCTGATAACGGCTGCTATCTATTTCTGGTCGTGCAATGGTAGACAACTACGTTTCTGATAACGCAGCGTCAGTATAATGAAGCCATTAAATTATTCAATACTTTCCTGTGGTAAACAGAAAACCCCAAAATTATAGCTAGGTCAGATTCTAATGCCTATTAATAGCCTACTGTAGTTTTTTATTTCAGTTCTAGCCCGTCGGGTAACGTGCGTTGTACGGATCACAAGCGCATTCCGACCTAGAGTATCGGACACAATGTCATAATTAACCTCAATCTTCGGCGCTCACAAACAACAACGGGTTTTCCAAATATTACGAGTTCACTAACCCAGTGTGGGAAAGCAACAAAAGCATCTCAAACATGCTTGAACACACACATCTCACAAATACAATAGTTCTCTCCACTGAAAATCTCAAAGTAGGTCCCACCATGAGAAGCGTAAAGTCTTTCGACTGAGGACGGGCCATTTTTCTGGATGGAGAAAATCAAGATGAGAGCCCTTTTTAACCGTCAGTTGCACCCCGGCCAGCGTGACGTGATTCCTCTTTATATGTCCCCCGGACGAGAGTAGCACCATTTAGGGACTAAGTACGACGAGACAAACACTTCTGACGAGTCTGCACTTGCTGCGGTTAGTTACTGTAGATTCCATCTGACTGTGATGCAATGTACAACAGGACTTCCTGATAAGGCAACCTCGGCACCGAAATCGCGGGGCTGAGCATGCTCCTGAGCACCATGCTTGGGGGCCATTCCCACAGTTCTGGACCAATCTAAGCCAGTGTTTCATCATGGTGTAGCACACTGGACATAGCCTTGAAATTTTCCCACCTGCACATATAATAATACCAGGAAACCACCAGCACCTAGTGTCCTGAGGTCTGGTCAGTACTGCAATGTTGTGCTACTAAAATGGACATGAGTAGGAGCTTGCTAGAAGTTTCTGTTGAAGATGTTTGACAGTGCCCATGCTTTATCAACCTGAACATGAGTGTCAGTACCCGAAAGCAATGCCTATGGTGAAATATTCACCAGCATCCCTATGATTCATTGTCTGATATTTGCATGCAGGATAATATTGAGGGAATGGTTGCATTTGTCAAGGGCATCTGCCATGAAAGAACATGATGCCTGGCATAGAACAATAAATCAACCAGTAAATGATCAATTGTGAGCAAATAATACAATCAAATAATATTGGTGCTGTGTCACATCAACAGGGAGTAAATAATCAATGCAGCACATACTTAACACATGTAATCCACAGGTAGATGCACTGCTGTCCTCTTGGCACTTCAAGCAGCCTGCCTCAGACCTTATCAGGCATCACAAAATCAGCACAGCCCACCTAATCATGAACCTAGCCTGAAATTGGTGTCATAGCAGCAACAGCTTAGTTGTTTTCACAAAGCCAACAGCTGGCCATCACAATGAAGCAGCATTCTATAGGTGGCACTTGGGTAGAACCTACATTTGGGGAGTGTATGCAACATGTACGACAAATGCTGCACATATTGATGAACCAGTGGCCAACTTTGCAATGAAAACAACAAGTCTGTCCTCTTAATTATTTACATGGGGTCAACATATAGGCCACCAACATGCCATGACCATGAACAGTGCCTTTGTGTCAATGACTTAAGCACAAACATGTCAAGTACAACTGACAGGCTGTCAGTTCCTATGTTTTTACTTTGTCTGCCATCTGCCATCTGAAGGAAGTAAGCTGCAAGCAGCAATGTTGGAAAAATAAGTTATTGAAACAATTTGCCTTATTCTTTTCAGCTGTATTTGATATTCTCTGTCCCAAGAATGCCTTGGGGTTGAATGAGAGATCATAAAGCATAAAACTTTGACACAAAAACATGCCCATTCTTGCCATTCAGCAACCATAAAAGATGGGTATGACTCCCATGTACGTGTTTCACACAACAACCATACACTGCCTATAGCAAACAGCCATAAGCATGTGCTTGCATTGTGCTGCATTTAAATGACTGGTTAATCTAGTGGTGAGTAACCAAGGATGAAAAATGCACTAGTGTTGAACCAGTTTTCTCTGCGGATACTTAATGCCAGAGTGAAGCACAGTTGTTGTTTTGTCTTTCAGAAAAGCAGAAAATACAGTTATCTGTCTCCTTTATAAGGAGGCTTGTCACATATGACTTGCTTCCTGAGGATGGCAGCAAAATAAAATTTGTCTGGTGGTTATGTTTTTAGACACCTACCTCATGCCTCTCAGTAAGAAATACTCTGCTTGAAATGAGTTCTGCATAATTGTTTCCTCACACTTAAAATAATATTATCCATTCACAAGACGTGTTTTTTATCACTAAGCATTAAAGGCGATAGCATGCTCAGAGCAAAGCTCATTCCAAGTTAGACCCATTTGGTGACAGCTGTTTTCTAAGCCGACTAAATGAGGAGGATGAGCAGGTCAGGTTATGACCACACTGCACAAAGTGTGTGTTTTGAGAGCTGGTTTCCCAGGATTATAACATTGCAAGGGTAATTCAAAACAAAAATAACCCCAGTGCATGCTTACCAAGGAATTTGATTTCAAAATTAAGTGCTACTTGGTCCAACCTAAGGTGAGCACATCTGAGCCAGGTTCAACATACAAACATGACCTAGACACTGGGTGCAGTGGATGATGTTTTTGGGGACTGGGGAGAGATTGGGAGATGCATTATCTCTTTATACAGGCCATGCTGCCCACTTCCACAAATAAGGCGCACCTCTGTGTGTCAAAATTTCATCCACTCCATGCTTCCCCTCGTTCAATAACAGGCTCCACATAAAATTTAGCTCATACTTAACTATCATATCACTGAGAACAATTCAGATTGGCAAATTTTGTGCCACACCTGCATCAGCAACACATGTAAGACATCTTGTAACTTGACCACAGCTGGTCAATGCAATAACTGGTTCCAACGAGATTCCAAAGAATCCTAAGAGTTCCAAAAACATCAAATAATTCAAACATCTTAGGCCTGTCCGTGTGACACTGCAAGCTCTGGTGGGTTCAAAGAATGGTCCGTGCTCTTGAACACATACCTTTTGAATTCTTTCGCGCAGGGTACCCTCCTTGGCCGCCTTGATGTAGCTTTCATACTGCTGAACATTGTCGTACACTTTAACATTGCCGCACGGTGGTGTGCTTTCATCGGAATAAAGAGCCTGCAATGGATCAAAACACTCTGACTCCGGGTCCAACTCGTCGCTGCTCCCACTGCTTCCATAGAGCGCTGCCATGTTTGTTGACATAAATGTCGCCTAACGCGAGCAAAAAGCAAGTTTCCTGACTAGATCCGGGATGACGTAATATTGCTAGAAGTACAGTTTTACGTCCATTGATAGGCAAATGATATATATTGCAGCCGTTTGATGCTCAATAATAAAATACTAAAATGTTTTTATCCATTTTGCGTCTAAAATTAATAAAATTTACGTCGAAACGTGGACTACGTAACGAAATATTTTGGCCACCATTTTGGTTAACCTTCCCGTCGGTCGTTAGTACTCGCGAACTCCAGGGGGCAGTTTGAAAGCTTAAGTAAGCTCAGCGTACGCTAGATGGCGGAGCACGCGCAGATGTTAGGCTGGAAGTGGTGCATTTGGCTCGGTTGAATTGGAGGACCGCATCGGACATGAATGCGGCGGATGCACGTTGCGGACGCGGGGGAGCGCGCGGCAGCCCAATCGGCATAGCAGCAGTAACTCCATGCTGCTGTGTGGAAAGCAACAGTGAGAAATCGCCTTTGCTGCCCCTCCCCGCCGAATGTTCTCAGACGACCTGCCGTCGCTGTCCCTGACTTTACGGGCTGGCCTCATTTGTGTTCGCCCTGCTCTATGCGGAAGGCACAGTGTAAATGGATAAAATCCTTGGTGAATATTCATGTGTGCTCATCTCTGCAACCTCTCGTGAACCTGATTGTCAAATTCTCGAGCAAACGATTAGTCAGTATGGTAAAAATTTAAAAATAATTTTCCTAAACGCACTTTCTTTTGCCCCACAGCGTGGCTTTACCGTTCAACGGTAGCTGAGCTCTGAGCCAACTGGTGGGACCCGAAGGCGTATTTGTCTCCCTCGATAGCAAACATTGACAAACAAATACAAAAAATTGTCCGCTGTTATGCCATGAGCTTCGCCACTCGCTCCAATGAGCGAGTTAAGTAGCGTTCCAGCATGTCCCGACGCACCGTCAATTTCTTCGTCACGAGTTTTGCCATGCGGTCTATTTTTGCGCTGCTAGTCATGGCCTATGTTCCACCGATTTAACTGATAAACCTGTTTTCCTTTTCAGATCGGTGCGAGGATGATATGCGTTATTAGCTGATATAAGCGATATTTACGAAGGTAAGTTGCAAATATGCCATGTTGCGCCGCGTGGTATCAGGATCGCGGCTTTGTTTTGGTTTCGGCGATAAATTCACTCCGGTAAATATAGGTAGTTGTTTTTCTTGTGTGCACAGACCATCAGATACGCCGTGTGTTCTACTGGATCGATTAGCTTGCATCCCGTAGCATGTCATAAACCCAGACTTTAGTCAGACCAAGAAAGCTGAGGAGATCACCGATAACGGGGTTTGCAGTCAGTGTGTTGCAAACGCTCCAGGAGCTTTGATATTCAGTAATTCGAAAGCATGCCGCTATGCATGCGGCGTATTGGCCAAGCATTCTTATAATGGCGTCCCGCGCTCCGGTCTAATGGCGTCCCGTGCTCGCTGCGATTACAGTTCGTCGTGCCGTATCCAGTATGATGCCCACGCACTCGGACGACGATCTCATGTGCTGGCTGACCAACCAGCTGGTGTGCCAAGTGGACGCCAAGCAGCAGCCGCCGCCACCGCCGCCGCCGCCGCCACCTCCGCAGCCGCCACCTCCCCCCGTGGCCTTCCCGTGCGGACGGCCGGGCGGCGGCGGCGGAGGCGGCGGCGGCGGCGGTCGTCCTGGCGGCGGCGGGGGTGGTCAGATGGCGAAGACGGGCCCCGGCTCGGACCCCAACATGGCCGCCGAAGAACAGGTGGTGAGTGAACCGTGGGCCGGCGATCAGCGGAGCGAGCGGTGGTCGGCGATTGCTGGATTGTTCTGTTTGTCGCCACGGAATCTGTTAGCGCCACGAGAGACATGATCGTGCTGCGTGCTGTTCTTTGTGATGCGTAAGATGGGGGCTCGATTCCCACGACGTTTGCGCTTCCCTCAGAGTGAAAGGCAGGCGATGCAAATGACCTCAGCGATGCAGTGCATTCTAAAGCCTCAATGATGATGACCAATTTTGGATGCTGACGAGCTTTTCCTGCTCGTTTTTGTGTCTCTCTTGGTTCTCATGTCCTGGGCTAGACTGCATGCATTCACCTGCAGTCGTTAGAGGAAGCGGAAGGGGGGGGGGAGACATGCCCCGCGTATCGCGTGCGTCACATAAATCATTTGTTGTTGCTGGGAAAGAATGTACTTACCAATGAAGTCTGGCTCCCTTGCTCTGTACGTTTCCACGTCCCTGCAGTCAGCCGAGCCGTGCTTTAGGCCGACGCGCTGCCCACTGCAGCCGCCTGGCCCTGCCCGGCTCCCGTGCCCCGACGACCGTGACCGGCGACGTTGCCCCGCAGCGCGCCATCCTGGAGGAGCCCATGTCGGACGTGAGCTTCACGGCACTGCCCGACCCCGCCCCCAACGACCTGGGCGCCATCGAGGAAGCCTTCAACTCGGAGGCGGCACGCCAGCTCTTCACCTCCAGTGTCAGCCTCGACTTTGACCTTGGCAACCTGCTGTCCGAGTATAAGGTGGGGCGCCGGCGCGCGCTGACCCACTGACCTATTTGAGCCGGGAAGCCCGCGCGCTGGCCAGTTCGGCGACGGGGGCGAGCGGGGCGAGTTCCGCGTGCTCGGGCGCTTCGTTGGCCGGAAAACTGTGTTGATCCCGCCGGTTTTTGTAGACGAGAGCGGACGGTGGGGCGCCCGGCGCGGTGAGCGGGGTGTACACAGACGGGTGGGTGGCCGTGACCGAGATTGGTGACACCATTATCGGGGTTTGGTGATGCGGCGCCGGCCGCTCCGCGGCTGGTCACGCGGCGTCACGGCCACCAGCTGGGACGGAGATGTGCTGACGCCGCTGGCGCCGGTGGCGCCGCCGCCGGCAGGTGGAGGAACTGCTAGCTGACGGCGGGCGCACGGCACTGAATGAGCGGCGAATGCGCATGCGCAGACAGCTGTCTGCTTCCGGCGAGTTGACGCCCCAGCTGCAACAACTGAACCTGAGGGTCAAGGTGAGGGGGTAAACTTTTTGGTCACCTGCTTGCCCCCTCTTCAGATAGTCGAGAATCCAGATGCGTAGCAGTAAATGTGTTGTCTGGCTGGGTCTGGTTCTGCCAGGTTATCAGGAGGCCATGCATTTAGTAGAACGTTTTAAACCGCCATGCGTTAAGCATTAGTTAATTATTTGTTACTTGTGCCCGTCTTTAAGTGTTATTGTCTTGCACTCAGTGTTAACTCTGTACTTATTTTGTGACCAGGGACGTGGCAGTTCATCACTAGTCATTGCATCGAAACTGGAAATGGAATACAACGCATGCTTGCTCAACTGAAGCAATCTGCCATTAACCTGAGTTAAGGCTATATCTGATGTCATGACTGAAGTCTCCCCAGAGATACCGAGATATCCTTTCCAAGCACTTACTGTGTTCCTTTTGATGCGGATAATGCTATTGGTCATCAAGTGACACGTGTTCCTGAGATCCACCCTTGTGTGAATAACCGAGACGCGATGATGACTGACCCGGTGGTGGTGTGTGACTTCACGCGCCTGATGCCCGCAGGACGAGCCAGACAGGACCCAGTGTCCGGCGGAGAGGGGTCCGGGCCCTCCGGCCCGCTCCATCGCCGTCAATAACCCGCTGCTAGCTAGTGAGTCGCCGTCCGGTCAGGTCCGGATCCGTGGTGAGGCTCCGGTCAGGTCCGGATCCGCGGTGGGGCTCCGGTCAGGTCTGGACCCGTGGTGAGGCTCTGGTCAGGTCCGGACCCGCGACGAAGCTCCGGTCAGATCCGGACCCGCGGCGGGGTTCTGGTCAGGTCCAGACCCGCGACGGGGCCCCGGTCAGGTCCAGACCCGCGACGGGACCCCGGTCAGGTCCAGACCCGCGACGGGGCTCCGGCCAGGTCCAGAACCGCGACGGGGCTCTGGTCAGGTCCAGACCCGCGACGGGGCTCCGGCCAGGTCCAGACCCGCGACGGGGCTCCGGTCAGGTCGGGCCCGCGTTGGGGCTCTGGTCAGGTCTGGACCCGCGGCGGGGCCCGATCAGGTCCTGACCGTTGGCGGGGCTTCGGCCCTGCCTATTTGCGGGCCGTCTCGTCGTCACGTGCGGGCTGTTGGGTGCAGGGACCACCGGTGGTGCTGAGCTGCAGCATTGGGGAGTCCGGTTGACGTATGGCTTTAGCACGCCTGCCGATCGCGCTGGTGCGGGTGAAGCACGCCTGCCGATCACGCTGGTGCGGGTGAAGCCGATTGTTTTTTTTTCAAATTTGAGGTAGGACAGGCGAAAGTATGAAGACACTGTGGTTATGGGTGAATAAGTTATTGGAAGGCGAGGCCGCTCGATGTTTTCAGGTATGCAAACCACTTTATTTTCAAACTAGTGTACAAATTCCGTTCAAAACGTTTACTCATCGACTATCCATTCTGGCACGTCTGCTATGGTGCCGGCCGGGCTCGTCACATACCTTTCAGCTTCGCGACCATTTGCTAGTGCACGGTGCGCCTCGCTCGGTGTATCTGCATCGCCGGTGATCGCGGCGCTCGCGTGCGGCAGGTCTGCTGGAGTCGTCCGGCGCCAAGGGTGCGGCCCCGCAGTGCGCGCCCAGTTCAGTACCGTCTCCGTCCTACGTGTCCGAGCCGTCGTTCGCCGGGCCGGGTCGCGCCGATGGCGCCCCCTGCCACATCAAGCGCGAGAAGCCTGACCCCTCTGACGGGCTCGGCGACGGTGAGTACTCGCTGCCGGTCGGCGGGCGTCCGCTGGCGCCTGTGGCGCCTGTCGTGCCTGTCGTGACGGTGGAGGGCAGTGGTGCGCGGTGACCGCCGACGTAGCAGAGCCGCTTCGAGTTGGGGGTGTCTAGTCAGCGTGCGCCTCTTCGTCCATCTATTCGGCTGGGGAACAGACGTGGTGTAGTGTCAGATATGCGTTACAGTTCTGGTAACCAGATGGCCTTTTAGTAATACGGATGGCAGTTCGGGTAGCTGCAGCCACCTGTCGGGGGCGTCGCGAAAACCACGAGAGGCGGATCGCCAGCGACCTCTATCTGTCAGTTTCTAATTTAACTAACAGATGGCGCTAGGTAATACTCTCTCCCTTTGCAAAGCATAAACGCGGGTGGCTTTGCTAAGCTCAGGCATGAGCTTCTGTCTTGCGACGCGTTCACAGAACTGGACAGGTGGTGCAAGGTGCTTGTGGTTAACAGTGGCCGCCGTCTCACCAATTAAGACATGTCGCTCACAGCACATCGTTCGTCGGCGATTTACCGATTTGGTTGCGTTACAAGGCACAATAAACGTTAACAGCTGCAGAGGATAAATGTAAGTTTTCCCCTCATCAAAATTGCTTATGCCCTTAATGCATATAACGTGACTCAAAATCCCGAAGTACAAACTATTTGCCGAAAATGGCTCAAAGCTCTGATAGTGACGTCACAAAAATGGAATTATTGCTAAGAAGAACGGTCAGCTGGATTAGCCATTCCTCCTCGCTTACGTGCCCGTTTTGGCAAGGTTGAACAGCTCTATCTCGTGACACATCGACATATTCCTGGTGCATATGCAGATGATCTATGAAGTAGCTGTTTAGCTCAAAATTAAGGTGCCTTAAGATCGCTGCGACCTGTTTGCAGCCTGACCAACTGCGAGCAAAAACCTGAATTATCTGGCAGACAAAACACCCGTACACTCAGTTTAGGCAGCAGGAGTTATTTACATCACTCGAGCATCTTTCAGCTCTGCGGGCTTAACATTTCCGCTATGATGACCCCCGGTGGGTCAGACAGGTGGTCGGCGAGCGGCAGGGATAACTTTGCGACTTGATTTCGCTGTTTTCAGTAGCGTCGTAGCTGCACGAGCCGTGTTGTACTTATCGTGTTCATTGGAACTGCAGCTAGTGCAACGCAGTGGGGAGACTCGAACCGTTTTTGTTTTTGTTTTTTTGTTGCAAATTGTCGCGGTGATGACCAGCTGGAGATGCATTCCTGTGATGAATCAAACCCAAAAAAACCCGAGCTCAGAGTTTGTTCATATGATAACAACAATGGATTCGCGGCCCTACGCCAAAACCCTGCCGCCAGGCTGCGGGCTCCTCCGACAAACTGTCGCCTCCCTCGTCCGAAGCCTGGGTAGCCACCGGAAATGGCGGCGCTCGGCGGCAATGAGTTCCGAAGCCGTCGACAGAAGTGACACCTGGCGCTTATCTATACAGTTGCCGTGCCATGAAAATGTCGACACGTCCAATGTAGCTGAGCGCGTAAAAAGAAAGTTTCGTCTTGGCGTGTGGGACTCTTCGTCTGGCCCACAAGGGTCATCCTCGTGTACTCGGCTGTTAGTAATGTACACCGCAGCGCAGCGCTAAAAAGCGCGGTTGGCTTTGATGGGCGCTCTTTTCATTTTGGCGTCGTCCATAGATTTGGTTACGCATGGGGGGGGGGGGGATAGAGCGTAACGAAAGCGTAACAAGGTAGGGAGGAGATGTTTTGGGCATGGCCACGTTTCGCTCAGGTGTCGTCGCAATTCATGCTTATGTCTTTTAAAAACAAACACATAAAATCTTAACGCCGGGCACCGTTGGTTTCTTGTTATGACAAGGAACACGGTCGTTATTTATTTTCCACCTCTAGGTCAATCGGACACCAAAATGTCGTTATTTTTCGGGACGTTACGCTTAGCACAGCGTAACCAGGGGAGTGGGTTATCCAGTGTAACTAATACGTAAATAGGAAGGGAGAGAGTGTTAAGAAATTACCAAAAACGAAATGTCATTTACGGACGGTCTTCTGAGTTTGATGATTATGACTGCGCTGTGAGATGTACTTTGATATTCATCTTATAAATCAGAGCTTTGGCTGTGGAAATGAAAGCAAGGTTCTTTTAACGTACTTGAAATTAGCACTTACGGTACGGAGGGCTTATTGCCCGATAAAGCTGTGTCTGCGAAAGAGGTCTGATACCGTCTCTTTGAGGCCTGGTCATTCTATTGACCTGGTTTTGAAATTGGCTAAGACCTTCTATAATTTGAGTGAAGCTCCAGTGACTTAACGCTGTAGCATGTAAAGGACGCTCGATTTCTTCTCCAATCTAACATTTGCCACATGCAACGTTTCACGCTGAATAAATAGAACCAAGAAATTGCAATCTAAAACCAACCCTCGAACCACTTGCGGGCGGCATATGTAGGCTTCGCATTTGATTAATTTGACGGCTTCGAATGTGGTGGCATGATGCGCCATAGCGACGTCGCCCACTGCGGGCCGTTCTGCGCGTAGGCGCGTGCTCCTCCGCCGCAATGATGGACAGTTCTGTGCGTGGACGCGGGCTCCTCCGCCGTCGCGGGAGCCGATGCGAACAGTTCTGTGCGTGGACGCGGGCTCCTGCGCCGTCGCGGGAGCCGATGCGGACAGTTCTGTGCGTGGGCACGGGCTCCTCCGCCGTCGCGGGAGCCGATGCAGACAGTTCTGTGCGTGGACGCGGGCTCCTGCGCCGCGGGAGCCGATGTGGACCGTTCTGCGCGTGGACGCGGGCTTCTACGCCGTCGCGGGAGCCGATGTGGACCGTTCTGCGCGTGGACGCGGGCTCCTCCGCCGTCGCGGGAGCCGATGTGGACCGTTCTGCGCGTGGACGCGGGCTCCTACGCCGCGGGAGCCGATGTGGACCGTTCTGCGCGTGGACGCGGGCTCCTACGCCGCGGGAGCCGATGTGGACCGTTCTGCGCGTGGACGCGGGCTCCTACGCCGCGGGAGCCGATGTGGACCGTTCTGCGCGTGGACGCGGGCTCCTACGCCGCGGGAGCCGATGTGGACCGTTCTGCGCGTGGACGCGGGCTCCTACGTCGCGGGAGCCGATGCGGACCGTTCTGCGCGTGGACGCGGGCTCCTGCGCCGCCGCGGGAGCCGATGCGGACCGTTCTGCCCGTGGACGCGGGCTCCTCCGCCGTCGCGGGAGCCGATGCGGACCGTTCTGCTCGTGGACGCGGGCTCCTGCGACGCCGCGGGAGCCGATGCGGACCGTTCTGCTCGTGGACGCGGGCTCCTACGTCGCGGGAGCCGATGCGGACCGTTCTGCTCCGGGCCGGCCGTGCGTTGTGCAAGGGGCGGCCGATGGACGCCACTCGGCCTCGGCCGAGTGGCGCAACGGCGAGGATTTTCAGCCGGAGAGTCGTGAGGTGCCGTCCCCGCGGCCCTCCGGCGCTGGCGGCGGCGCAGGGGCGAGCTGAGGTTACGCGCGTGTTCGCGGCCGCCCGGGGGCAGATGTGACTTGTGGAGCGGGCCGTCCTGTTCTGGCCTGCTGGTGGGACAGTGATTGTGACTTGTGGAGCGGGCCGTCCTGTTCTTGGCCTGCTGGTGGGACAGTGATTGTGACTTGTGGAGCGGGCCGTCCTGTTCTGGGCCTGCTGGTGGGACAATGATTGTGACTTGTGGAGCGGGCCGTCCTGTTCTGGGCCTGCTGGTGGGACAGATGATTGTGACTTGTGGAGCGGGCCGTCCGTTCTGCTGGCCTGCTGGTGGGACAATGATTGTGACTTGTGAGCGGGCCCGTCCTGTTCTGGGCCTGCTGGGTGGGGACAGTGATTTGTCGGGTGCAACCGTTGTACAGCATCGCTTGGATCATGTTATCCGGAAAAATAGCAGGTAGATGCTATGTTCATAGGTATCAGAAAACATGTATGTTGGGTATTCAATGCGCCTACTGTAATGCAAGTGGCGTTATACACCTATATCTAAAAGATGGACACAGTTCTGTAAATAATGTGTTATTTGTATATCAGAGAGGAGCGGGAACGCTAGCTCACGTTTGAAGTGCTTTCGAGGCTATGGCACCTGCCTTCAGCATTTGAAATGTCATGTAAACGACCGAATATAATTATGTGATTTACACTATCCAACAATATGGGCATTCGTGTCACGCCTACAGAAATGTGTCGTATCAGACTGGACTCACGCAACTGTTCAGCTTACGTGACATTAGGCTTCGATTGCACATCTGGCAAACCCAGGTGCTGAGCCGGTTTGAAGAGTGGTATGCGGCGCAATCCTCGCATTTTTACGTGAAAAACGGTCCGCCCTGATATGGATTCACGATACAAGGTCACGTGGGCTTACCGTACACCTCCAAAATTCACGCTGTTCTGTTAGCCTGTTGGCACAGCTGTCTAAAATGTAATGCCGTTTAAATTTGATTTGTCCTGGGTGTAGTTCGTTGCCAGGCACCTGTATTTACATACCGAAATAAGCAGGCTTTTTACTGGCCTCCCACTGCCCCTCTCAAGTCAAAGTTGCAGGCGGTGGCAAATAATGAACCTTTTACCGTGTTTGAGCAAGATCGTGTTCACGTCATATCCTCTACTCCACGGCCTGGCTAGTCCACGTGTCCCGAATATTTCTGCGCCAGCTGCACACTGGATGACTTATGATCGGTTGTGTGCTGTAGCACCCACTCGACTGCATGGGCGTCGCAGTCCTATGTTTATGGCATGTGTTACTCCATGTGCGTCAGCATCGTAATGTATGTCGCCAACTTTAACCGGGAAGGCACGGTCGACGTCGGTTCTCGAAACAGCCGCCGTTGTTTATGGTCTACGAGTGAGGGGAGGCACTACTATCGTGATCGACCGTCTGCCTTTACTATATGATGGATCAGCTGAGTCTCAGTACGACAGCGGTGGCAAACCTCACGCGACAATGCTGCCCACTGCTGGCACGTCGGCATAGCGCGCCCCGGCGCGCGGGC